TGCAACCACAAGATTAACGAGATCACGACTCACATGCTCGAAAGTCTCCATGCTGTCCTCGCAGCCTTCCTTCTCTCCTGCAAAATTTTCATCTGGCGGTCTACAACACAGGCCAGGAAAAAACAGCTCCGAGCTGCCAACCGAATAAAGCGCGCTAAACAACTTCGCTTCCTCCTCCTACCAAGCGAGTTCTCCCCTTCCATCCACCCTGAGCTCCGTATATCCTGGCTCCTCAACGAAGCCTTCCGCCCACCCTAGGTCCCCTCCTCTGCACCTGCCCCATACGCATGTCAATGCAGAACGGATGGCATTCTCCCGCCTCCGCTATACCTTAGTTTAGAAGGATAACGTGTGTCCACGTGCTCCCTATAGGGTGCTGGCTTCCCGCCATTTCCTTTTCTGCGTTGTCTTTGTAACAGTTACGACTGAAATATAACCTTAACCTTAACCCACGTCCCAGCCAATGGTTGCTTGCCACAAGGTTTCGTCGTCAGCCATGTTTTCTGGTGAACGAAATTCCTGCTGCTGCTCTCTCGGGCAGCTTTTGGCTGGAGGGGCAATCCCATCTTGCACATTCGCATCTCGGCAATTTCTTCTCCTCCTCCCCCCCCCGAATTTGCGTTCTCCTCTGATGCTTCGTCGGAGATCCCCTCCGCACCTAGTTCCTCAGATTCGCCAGGTACATATGTTTCCCTTAAAGCCCGTGTCTCATATTTCTTACCGACCAAAGGTATTAACTTTGAAGGGAGGGTCTGATTGGGGGGCGAGGGGCGAAATTTTGAAAGAGAGTTGGCGAGGGTTGCGACAATTTTGGAAATCGTGGAAGGTCCAACTTTGATGAGGCTTCGAGTCTCGTATTTCTGCGGACCCGTATTACCTTCGGTTTGAGCTCACGAAACGTTGAGGGCGTGGATGGTGGGGGCTGGATTCTCAAAGTTTCGCAAGCAGTTGCAATTCCAGTGTTGATTTTGGGCCGAAAATTTGGTCCTTATTCCGTGTACCCAGCCCAGGTTCCAAAACCTAGCTTACTGCGAGCGCGTTCTCGGGCTCGCTTTGCTGAGGTTGGATATCTACTCTCGCACTCACTTGTGAGCCCTCGCACAAAGAGCAGCTACGTTACCTAGTACCAAGCGTATTACCTTAGGAAATATGAGACGCGGGCTTTAACTCCCATTTCGACTCATCCTCCATTTCCTGCTCCTTGTTTTGCTCGGGTCTGCCGTGCCTGGCTCTCCAGTCCCCCATGCATAGTATCTGCCTTCTCTGCTAGGCCTTCATCCGAAAATTGACCCCTGCAAATTGTTTCCCCCAAGAGCCCCACAGGATACCTCGGGGATTCACACATGGGGGTACCCGCGGGGCTCCGGGCAGGTCACCTGTTGGTCACCTACCGTCAAAACACCTTTCGAGGATACCCACATGATGCCCTTGTGAGGTCACCCTCGCGAATCCCGCAGGTAACCTTCGGGGTTCGGGAGGGTATCGGTGGGTAAACTTTTTGATGGGTACATCCTCGGCGCGCGACAGATTCGCTAATCTATAATGCGGTACACTAGCGCGCGGCCCAGCTAGTTTCGTATACCAGCAAGAAAGGCATGGCACATATACTCGACAGTAGCTCCTCGTTAACATCACAACCCTTCAATTGCCTCCGCCGATAAATAGACCGCTGTAACAAATGGGCACAAAGGCACAAAACCTAACAGCCTGACAGTATCACATTAACGAACCATTAACGTGGAAGTGTGAAAGCTATGCTAGAGTGTACCTCAGCCGCAGATGGATCAGCGTTGTTGTACGTATAAAAAACTGGTGTAGCAGTACCAAGTCCGTCAATAAAAGAGGATTTACTGTACAACGCCGCAGAGCATATGTTATAACGGGTTACTCCGTTTCATGTTACCAGGCAGTTTGCAACACCATGCAGCTTTGTATCTCGCACTACGGGTACCCTACGTCAGCATTGACACCATATACGCTGCAACGGAAAAAGTGCCTGTTTGGGTGTGGAGCTTCAGCAAGCTGTGTGGAATGCCCATTATTGGGGGTGCTCTGGTCACGTCTCAGGGTGATGAATACCTGGAACATAGCATAAAACAGTATGACCACCACATCTGCTATCCACCTAAAACATTCAGCTAGCTTGGCCAGTACATTGCACCAGCAGGAACTGCCAGAGACAGCCGGAAAAGCACCACCACTAGCTACACCCAGCGCACTGGGCCCATGGTCAAAATGCGAGAATCCGGAAGACACAGGGCGATGTCAGGATCCCCGCTCCAGAGGACTGCGGCAAGGTATGCCGAAGCCTTGACCAATGGGCGGAAGGCTCGCCCGCGTGCTAGAAACTGCGCATGGGTTTCCTGCCAAACAAGGAGCCGAATGCCCAGTCAGTGTCCGGTCGGACCAACCGTCGTACTCGACGGAAACAGCGAGCGACTACTGCCGCACTCACAAGCTGAGTCGGGCATGTCCACTCAGGAAGGCGCATACCCCTTCCGCCCGTACAAATTGCGGCTCGGTGGAGAGTGTCGACGACGCGCTCGGCCACGGTGTGAGCGCCTCCGCGCCAAAGAGTTCAACGCATGCGGTGAAGGAACGGTCGGAATCCAAAAAAGATAGTCCTTCAACGCGAAATAGACGGCACGCGGGATGCGCGACTAATCGCCGGCGTCTATTGTTACGCACGCCAATCAGCTCACCAGTCATGCGACATTAAATACCATCCATAACAAAACACGGCGCGTACCATCGGCCGTGGCGACCCGACCCATGCCTGTCGAGCAGCCTCTTGACAACAGCAGATGGGCAAAGCGCCTGCAACTACAGAGCGACGCGCAGACTGGAAACAAGTCCGGCAAAAACCGGTTGTCGATGAGACGGGCATACAATTTCAAAAGAGCCGACATCACCAGGCAGCTGAAACATGCGATTCCTCGACACGTCATGACTACGGCCACACACGAGCGCTGCCAGCAGGCGCCGACTGCCCGGACCAACCAGCCAAAATGTGTGCAATAAACTGCCCGAAAGTCCTAAAATGAATATAAGGCACTTACCAGCGCCGTGGCAGATCAGATATTCTCCAGCAACGCGACATCATACCTGGCAAGGGACCGTGGAAAAGGTCGCGCCCGACGACGAACACCGAAGCTGCGACGACGGTGCACGCAAACAGCACGACCCCACAGCACCATGGCGGAAGAGGCAGGTAGCCGAGTGCACCTGACGCGCAGATACTACAAGCAGCTGTGTGATTGGCAAAGATGGGTGCTGTGCTTTGGAGAGGTAGAACAGGACTGCTCGCCACCATCTACAGAAATACCCACTGCAGGCCAACGGGGTTTCGTGAAACCGTGAGCAAACAAGCATGGTTTGGACACCTCGCCCTGGCAGCGGGGTGTGCCACCTGGCCAGCTCGCCCCTGCATTCCATTGGATGCCCGCGGATCGCAACAGCCTATGTGGCGCATCCTAATGGTTTGCCCAATGACCTCTGTACAGCGCGCTTGTGCACCTCTTTAAAGATGCCACAACGAGTTACACACGTCTGTAAACGCTGCGAGCTCTATGTAAACTGGGCTTCAGTCAGGCCTTTGGATATCAGGGTAAAATACCCTTACGGCCCTTACTATAGGGCTGGGGTTGGCGTTGGACCCTTATTCTTAAAAGTTATTTTGTTTTGGACCCTTACGAAAAAAACCAAGTTTGTACCGGACCCTGATTTTCAAAAGTGGTGTAGCGTTAGCAACCTGATGCGAAAAAGTGCCTTTACAAAGGAGGGGTGTAATGTCACACTGTCTAACAAACAACCCTTTTTGATGGATGTATGATGAGGTCGCACTGGACTATGTTGTGTACGCCAGAACCCATGCACAATCCATGAGGCCTTAAAAACATGGGGTGTGTCGGCATTACATTTTACGCCGCAATCAAGTGTGGGTTATGTATTTACATCCGTGCATATAGGTTATAGTATAAGCAGGTCATCAAATCCATGCATGCGCATATGCATTTCTTAGCGTCTGACACTGTCGGAGATGTCAGGTCAAAGCCGAAGCGGCTGCTCAGGTTTGGCTTGCCCCCGGGTCCGGGCCGAAGCTTTGAGATTTCATGTGGGTCACCTCGAACTCTGCTGACTTCCCATTGGTTGCGCGCGTATCTCGCGAGAGTTCGCGGGGTACCAGCGATTTTTCTAACCTTCGCCTACACCCTCATGTGACCTCGGGTGTACATGTGGGGAACTTGGGTGTGACGAAGGTTGGGTCACCCCTGGGTTACCCTCGCCCCTGGCGCTCGAAGTTGGGCTGGGAATTTTGGGATGTTCTTGCCCCGGCATTTCCCCCTGTTTGGTGCCGTCATGTGCGCCTGCCCGCTCATCCTCCACGCCCGACAGTAGTGTGCCCCTCACCAACCGTCAAGAACTCCTCTGTGCCTGCTGCTGCATATGCCGACGCGTTACCCCCTCATCCCAAAAATTAGGGTGGCAAAATGATACCCCCAAGACTGCCGCAGCTAACCTGAGGGTTTCGCGCTGGGGGGTAACCCTGGGGCTTCCGACTGAGTGACCTCGGGAAACCGACGGTCAAAATGCCTTTCGATGTGACCCGTGGGAAACCCACGAAGTCACACCTTTCCGAAACCTTCGGGTTACCCTCAGGTGTCATCAGGGCTAGGTGGGGGGAACGTGAGGGCATCCCTTTTCCGAGGCGCGTCCTTGATACAAGCCAGTCGATACGCGTACAGTAACTTATAGTACACCTGAAAAGTAATTAAATGCTCTCATACAAAAATTATATTGGTACATTCCATTCGTGTTCTTCTCCAATGCTCATTTGCCAATAGCAGAATCGACAGATTTTACAGGTTTACAGCCAAAAAATATTGCTAATACATACAGATTTTAGTCAACAGGTTTACAACATTTCAGTATTCAAAATTCCGACCTGTTATTGATAATACATACACCACAAATATTTCGGACTGGAACGAATGGTTCGTAACTCCGTGGAGGTGACAATCACCAAACTTAGTACACATAATCTGCACAGTAAGGATGGAAAGAGAAAGCAATAAGCAAAACTGCTCAGAAAGAAAAAAGACAGGGAAAGGAAAAATAAACAAAACCAGTTTGCGCTTCTTACAGTTAGGCAGTCAGAGCCCGGACCAGAGAAATGCTTCACAAAAAGAGTGTTGGCGGGACACAACCCGAACCTCTCTCTGTACAGCTCCGGCAGGATAACAGACATCGCAAGTTGGCACGGCTGCTGTGATGAAACAAGACGAAAAAACAGGCATACACAGGAATGCAATGGCAAACCGCGAAGATGTGCCTTACCCTTCATCGTAAATGGCAGTGAGCCACTGTCGAAAACGCGACTAGTATCAGCCAAATTAATCACGTGCCATCACCTGAACGACAGAGGTCCAAATTTATGAAAGAACCTTTGCCTTCGTCCTGGAAAAACGAAAGCGGGAATAAGACACGGTTTGAAGTGACAAAACGCCATAACACGAATGCCAACGTCCGACCAAAGACCATGCAAGAATGGGAGTTGTGACCGGGACAAAACCACAAACGGAGAATCAAACATATGAACCAGACTCGGGTACGGGTCGACGCGCAGAGTTGTACCTAGGGTATACGCACAGGTACGACATCGATAAGCTGACCGTCCGAGGGCCGCGGGCTTGGGTATCTGAGAGAAACAAAGAAGATAGTATAGCGTTAATTCACGAATTGTGACAGGAGGGGAGCGGCTAACTGGAGCATGAAAAGCAGGAATGCTAACACAAAGTGACGCGTTCACCCTAACCTGGTCGCCGTGCCTGATGTGAACGGTGCACCGCTAAGGAAGAAAGGTGGAAACTGGCGTGAGAAACAATGAATGGAAGGACTGAGGATTGAGTTCAGTTTAAGTCCAGTGAGAGCAGCCAGATTAGCCCAACGGAGAACTTGGGTTTGGAGTCGTGTTCCGAGATTCGAGTCTGTGTGTTCGTTGCGTAGCGCTGTACGTTGAACACCATATGTCGCGTGCATATTGAGCCGATATTTTGTAACAAGGCCTTAGATTTCGACTTTCAGACTGAACATTGTCGTCTGAAATCGCCTAGCAGAACGCACCCCACCTTCGTTCTGTCCTTACCAGACTTGTGATTTCGCATGTGTTGGCAGCCGAAGAATAGGAGAAAACGATGGTGTGCTCTCATTGGTCAGCTGTTGGAAGACCGTACCCATCAACATCGTACGCGTAAAAGCGGCCCTGTCTAGAGTCATACAAGTTTGATAATTTATGTCTAACTAGTTTTCCACTTCGCTGTACAAGCGTGTATGCAATTGGCGGCACAACTCCAGGCCTGGGCTTCGCACCTTGCTATTGGCCAGCACGAACTGATGGTTTGAGTCCAAAATCAGCTTGGTAAGCAGATCCTGATTGGCTGTCAAGTTTCGTTGCGAGGGGTAGCGAATTATTTTGCCTAGGTAACAGCTTCGCCTTGCTCACAGGTTTCTCCTGGCACTCTTGGGGGGAACAATGGGGCATCCTGGCGTAGGACACCTGTGGGTATCCCTCGCCCCCAAGGCCACTTTGCCTTCGCAGAATTTTGGGATGCTCTGGTGTGATCCTCCAAGGCTGTCCGTGCTGGCAGCTGCGGGGCGGCGGCGTCGTGGGCCCTAGGCGAGTAAGTTTCTACATCGACACTTCTGTCGGGGCCTGCCCTAACCCTCCTCACCGCTCCCGCACGGTGCCATTCTTTACGATGGAGCTGCTCATGTTCGCCCAGCGGGAGGATGAGTACTGAGGCTCTGGTGCGGCTGGCGGCACCTATATGGATGGGTTGCTGGCACGCAGCGAGGTGGCGATGCTTCCCTTACAGTCGTTTGCTCCCCCATATCGCTGCCAGCACCCTGGCGAGTCCTGTCCTCCCTTTGCACCTCCCCGTCCACGCGGGGTCTTTGTGTGCGGCGGAGTGCACCGGTGGAGGTCTAGCGTCTGCAGGTGCGAGGTGGCCGCGAAGAACTAATAATGAGCAATGGAATGGGAATAGCTCTCCCTCTCTCTCTCTCTCTCTCTCTCTCTCTCTCTCTCTCTCTCTCTCTCTCTCTCTCTCTCTCTCTTCTCTCTCTCTCTCTCTCTCTCTCTCTCTCCTCTCTCTCTCTCTCTCTCTCTCTCTCTCTCTCTCTCTCTCTCTCTCTCTCTCTCTCTCTCTCTCTCTTCAGTAGTTGCTGGGAATGTAAAACTAGGCCCAACTAGATCAATGACTTGGGCCCAACTCGATCCACAGCCCCATCCCGTAGCGTGCTTCGTTGGGCAACTCTTTTTGGCCGGATCCAATTAGCTTTGAGGTACAATTACAGTCTGGAAACACGCATAATTTTGGACCAGTATATGTTCTCGAGTCGCTTCTAAGGGTACATTCGTACGAACCCCTCGTCTCGTCAGTTTGCAAAATCATTAGAGGTTCTCGTATATTGCAGAGCGCGTCACTGTTGCGCACCGCGCAAATGCAAAATTTGGTTGAGCGAGATTGGTCCCCGCAAAATCCAGTCAGCCCTAAACGCCCATGGGCTGCGTTTGCGCGACTGAAATAGTTACGCACCAATTTCCGAATGTTGGGAGTGTTAGAATGATGGAATGAACTAGAATGTGAGACCACAAGAGAATATAGGCTAGTGTTGTACCCTCTAAGGCACAAACCGATACTGTGTATAACAACATACTAAGATATGTTTTGACACACCCCCTAGACTGTATAGGGGCAGTGCCTAACAAACGGACAAGCAGCTCAGGGCGGCACTACTAGTCCAGCCTCTGAGACAGGGGTCTAAAGACTAGTCAGACGAGTACAAACCAAGACAAGAGCAAGACCAGGGCGGCACTACTAGTCCAGCCAGTGGGAGAGGCCACAAGGCCAGTCAGAGCAATATATATACATATATATATATACATACATAACTATCTGTACACAATCAAGGCCCTAGCAAATGAGAGGCTACAGGAACAAGACCAAGCTGTACACAGTGCCGCTGATGATCTTTAGGCGCAAGCGCCTTCGTAAAGATATTAGCCGCGTTGGCACCAGAGGCCAAGTGTATTACGCGGGCCTGGCGGCGCTGCTGTAGCTCGCGCAGGAGGAAGTACAGCAGCTAGATGTGCTTCGCACATCCTTAGCCGGCCCCACGCGCCCTTGCCAGCCCCGCTCGCTCTAGCCGGCCCCTTGTACCCTAGCCGGCCCCTTGCGCCCTAGCCGGCCTCGTCGCCTGAGCCGCCGAGCCGCCGTGTCCCCGAGCCGCCGAGCACCCGCGCCGTCGAGCCGCCGTGCCGCCAAGCCGCCGTGCCGCCGAGCCGCCGTGCTGCCGTGTCCCCGAGCCGCCGAGCCGCCGAGTCGCTGTGCCGCTGAGCCGCTGTGCCGCTGTCACACTGTGCGATGGCGGACGACGTTGTTCGCTTGGACACTGAGGGGCACGCGATCGACTTCACCGCCTGGCTCGTCGACCTCTGCCGGCACCTGACAGGTCAGCGCTAGGATGGGCACTCCCTGGCTATGCATGTTGATGGTTTGCTTCCCCGCCCCCCTGCGCCTGATCCCCTCTGCAGAGTTTTCTGCTATAACGGGAGCTTCTGTGGAAGTGCCTGACGCAGATAGAGCTCTCTAGCTCTGTGGTTCTTTAAGGAGAGAGCTGCCTTCAGAATTGTGTGTTTCACAGAGTCGCTTGAGAAAGCTTGGGCACTCAAATTCACTAGAATCAAGATTACAATGTATGGTACAAAGGCAAACACTAGTACTACCTCATTGAACCTCATTGAACACGGAGAGAACGTTCGCACGAGAACGTTTACATAACCACTCTAAGCTACGCTTAACCAAGTCAGCAATGCATGTGAAAATTACAGCACATGCTTAGTTTGTAATTTTACCCACTCAAAAGTAGTTGTTTTAACAGTTTCAGATATGAAACTGTTAGATGTTACGCACATTTCCGCAGTTAGGAAATGCGCGTCACGTGTTCAATTTCAATTTTGCAGCTAGATTTTGCCGCTTTCGGTGCAGATCGAATCTGCGGTGAACTTACGAAATCACAAATTTCTCGCGATTTCGGAACGTTACCTTCATCAGAAAAACTAAGTCCTCAATTTTCTGTCGAAGGGGTCGCTCGAAGAAGCGAAGTCCGAGATGACTCTCTGCCGCGGTTCTGCCAAATTTTGTCTCTGCCGAGGGGGTCGACAACATAAGAGATAGCCGAATTGCCTTTCTGCCTAACTTCGGTCCTTGCGCGAACAGGTACTTGCGCCACTCTACCCGAGGTCCTGTTGGAACGCATTTCTGAGAGTCGATTCTGCTGAGAGGGTCGCCTGCAGAAATGTCTTCTGCGCAATACTTCGGCAGAGGATAACCCTTCTGCGAATGGCCCATGGTGCCAATTCGGCAAAGGGTCTTGTACACTCTCCATTCTGCCGAGACCGCTTCTACAAAAGCACATGTCGATGTAGAAGCCATATGCAGAAAAAGTGCTCTTGTTCTGCCACTCCAACAAAACCGCTTTTCTGCCACCAACGAAAACTGCTCTTCTGCCATTTCCCACAGAGCCTCGCCTTGTCGACAAATCTGCTCTTCGTCCCACCTTTCTGCTCTACCATGTACCTCATTGCCATGCGCCTGCCTGACCGCTTAGCCACTGCCCACGACCACTTCCTTAGTGAGCACCCTGCCGACCTCACCCTGACCGCCTTTGTCACTACTATGTCTGAGATAGAGACGCGCCAGTGCACTATGGCTCAGTCGAGTGGTGTTGCGGCAGTCCCTATCTTTCAGGGTTGTGCCCCCTCCCAGTGCATGTACGCTGACGTCTCCGTCGCAGTTGCCACGACTGCGCCTGCACCTGAGACAGCAGCTGCGGCTTACCCGCAGCAGCGCCAGCGCCGGGGCCGTCGTGGCCCCAAGGGAGAACATGGAGGTGGCGCTAGTGGTGGTGGTGGCGGGGACAGTGGTTTTGACGAGGGGGTTCGTGCTGGTGCCTAGGAGCAGCAGCAGTCACCGCAGTCGCAGCCGCCGCAGTTGCAGTCGCCGCAGCAGCAGCAGCCGTCACAGCAGCAGAAGCAACAGCCGCAACAGCAGCAGCAGCAGCAGCATCAGCAGCAGTGGGCTCGTCTCCCGCCCGGGTGGCCAGGAGACCCTGGCGGTGGTGGTCGTGGTGGTGGCCCTCGTAGCTCGGCGTCCACAGGTAGCTTTGGTGCTGTGAGCTGCCCGTACCAGCTTCAGACCGGTCCCCTGCGTGGCACGGTGTGCCGCTGCTCGCACCCCACCGCCCGCTGTTTCCACCGCCTCCACGACCTCTTCCGTCGTCGCTTTGGTCCCGCCCCGGACCTCCCTGACTGGCCCAGCCTGCTGCGCCACGGTGTGCCTGTGTTTGACTTAGACATGGATCAGATTAGTTATGCCTTGCATTCTCTGTATCAGATTAGTTAGCCAGACTCCCCGCAGCAAAATGGGGTCGCTAAGCAACGCATCGGTTTGGTCATGGAGGTGGCTCATACCTCCATGATCCATGCCGATGCACCCTAATTTCTGTGGCCGTTCGCCGTTCGCTACGCCGCTCACCAGCTTAACCTCTGACCTCGCTCTCAGTGGCCACAGGTTTTGCTGACCCTCCTTTGGACCGGGTTCCTTGGTGACGCGTCTGTGTTCCACGTCTGGGGATGCCTTGCTCATGTTCATGCCTCCGGCGTGGACAAGCTCAGTGCCCGCACCGTCCCCTGTGTCTTCCTCGCTTTCACCCTTGACTCGTCTGACTGGCACTTCTACCACCCGTCGTCTCACCGCTTCCTTCACTCCCGTGACGTCCCTTTCGACGAGTCTGTCTCCTTTTTCCACCGCTTTCCTCACCGAGGTCTCCCGGTTTCCCCCACCCTGTTTCTGGTTCCCACTCCCCCTGTCGCCCCTGCTCCCTTCCCTCCCTGTCGTGCTCCGTTCGGTGTGTCTCACGTCACTCCCCTCCCGTTGGTTGTCCCGGTCGAGGAGTCGGCTGACTCCGGTGGACCCGCGGTGCAGTCTGCGCTGCCTGTCCCTCCTCCGTTGTCTCCTCCTCCCTCGTCGCAGTCGCCGCCGCAGCCGCCGCCGTCACCGCCGCCACAGCCGCAGCCGTTGTCGCAGCCGCAGCCGTTCGTGGACTCTGGGGGTGCTGGAGTTGGAGAGGGTGCTAGTCCTGGGGCTCCTGTCGTGGCTTGTCCCGGCGGGCTCGGGGGTGGCACCGGTGCTGAAGACGTTTCTCGTTCTGGGGGTGCTGGCGTGGAGTGTGCCGGCGGTAGCAGTGGTGCAGCTGGTGGTCCAGGTGTCGGCGTTGAGCAGCAGCAACAGCAGTCGACGCCAGTGTCCGCCCTTTGCCTGCTCGACCTTCCCTCCCCTGACCGCTCGCGTGCGCCTCCCTCGTCGTCTCCCCCTCTTCCTGTTCACGGTCCTGTGTTTCCTCCGCCGGACTCATCTCTGGCTCGTTTCCCCTCTCGTTCCCCTCCTGTAACTCCTCCTGTCTCCTGACCCGACGCCTCCGTCTCACGTCTGGTCTCGCCGTCCCTCTCGTGCTCGTCCTGTCTCTCCTGCTTAGCCTTCTCACCCTATTATGCTTCGTTCCCACGCGTCTCGTCCTCCCTGTTTGCCTTCGCCTCCTCCGTAGTCGCTCATTGTTGCTCCTCCCCCTTTTCCTGACTACCTTCGTGCTGCTCGTCCTCTTGTTCCTCGGGTCCTTGCCTCCCTCGTTACTGACCCATTTGTTCCTGTCTCCAGTCTGGACGCTCTTGTAGCTGCTGTCGCTGACTTTGCCGCTACTCGCCGCCTTGACTTTGCTACCCATCTGGTCTCTGACCCTGACTGTCCTCCATCCGTCGAGGGTGCTCCTGCCCTCGGTAGTGACGTCTTGGCGAACTAGCAGTACGAGCTTGCTTTCCTGTCAGAGGCTGCTCCCCATCTCTGTTCCATACTGCTAGTCCCGGAGGGTGACCCCGACGCCTTTGACATCCCGACCCCTCGCACCTACGCTGAGGCCACCTCGGGGCCCTGGGCCTCTCAGTGGATAGCTGTCATGGAGCAAGAGATGGCATCTTGGAGGGCTACTGACACCTACGTCGACGCAGTTCCCCCACCTGGGGTGAACGTAGTTGATGGCCGGTGGCCCTTCATGGTGAAGCGCCCCCCTGGAGAACCGTCTGTGTTCAAGGCACGCTACGTGGCTAGAGGCTTCTGTCAGCAAGAAGGGGTGGACTTCTTTCAGACCTTCGCCCCGACCCCGAAGATGACTACTCTTCGGGCGCTGCTACACGTATCAGCACAGCTTGACTACGAGCTTCACTCCCTCGACTTCTCCACTGCTTTCCTTCAGGGCAGCCAACACAAGCAGGTCTACCTGCGCTGCCCTCAGGGATTCACCGGTACTTTCCCTTTTGGGACCCAGTGGCTCCTCCGGCATCCCGTCTACGGCTTGCGACAAGTGCCCCGTGAGTGGCACGACACGCTGCGTGCCACACTAGCTGACTTGTAGTTGTTTCCGTCCTCAGCTGACCCTTCGCTCTTCGTTCGTGCTGGCCAGACTCCGTTCTACATTCTGGTCTACGTAGATGACCTGGTCTTTGCTACAGCAGACAAAGACACGCTGGCCTCCGTGAAGGCTGAACTGCTGAGGCGACACACCTGCACTGACCTAGGAGAGCTGCGCTGCTACCTTGGTATGCAGATCTCTAGGTACAGAGCAGCGCGCACCATCACTTTTACACAGTCACACTTGGTGCGCCAGGTCCTTCAGAGATTCGGTCTTCAGTTCTCCTCCGCACAGCCCACACCTCTGCAGGTAGGCCACATGCTTTCAGCTCCAGTTCCCAAGGAGTTAGCAGAGCCCAGTGGTCCTTACGCAGAGCTGATGGGTTGCCTCATGTACCTGATGACTTGCACTCGTCCAGATCTCGCATACCCTCTCAGCATCTTGGCCCGCTTTGTGGCCACAAGCAAACACCGACCACAGCAAACGTCGGCCGCTAAGAGGGTTTTGCGTTCTCTTGCAAGTACATCGGACATGGGGCTAGTGCTGGGAGGACACAGGCCAGTGGTCCTTACTGGGCACACAGACGCTTCTTGGGCAGATGACGCTGAGACCCTCCGGTCCTCCTAGGGCTGCTGCTTCAGCCTTGGTTCTGGTTCCATCTCGTTTAGGTCCACTCGCTCCTCGTCTGTTGATCAGTCTAGCTGCGAGGCTGAGATCTACGCCGGTGCCATGGCGGCACAGGAGCTCCGCAGGCTAACCTTCTTGCTTGCCGACTTGGGTGAGCGGCCTAGCTCTGCCCCGGTTCTGTACGTTGACAACAGGGCCATGATCCTCCAGTGTCAGGAGCCTCGACTTGAGGGCAGGGCGAAGCACATCCAGCTGCGGTACTTCCTCCTGCGTGAGCTTCAGTAGCGTCGCCAGGCCCGCGTAGTACACTTGGCCTTTGGTGCCAACACAGCTGATATCTTTACTAAGGCGCTTCCGCCTAGAGATCATCAGCAGCATTGCTTGCAGTTAGGTCTAGTCCCTATTGACTCTCACTTGCTAGGCCCTTGATTGTGTACTCCTTTCTATTTATGCCTTCCAGACTGGCCTTCTGGCTTTTCCTCCAGTGGTTGGACTAGTAGTGCCGCCCTGGTTTGCTCTTTCTTGCTTGTACTCTTGCTGAATGGTCTTCGAGCCCCTGCCTCAGAGGTTGGACTAGTAGTGCCACCCTGAGCTGCATGTTTCTTGCTCAGCACTACCCCTTATATAGCCTAGGGGGTATGTCAACTTATACATATATTGTTATGTAGATGTTATAGGCTAGATAGGGTACGATATGTTCTTTGTGGGTACAACCCAAACGCTATATCTCCCCTGTTCTGCCTCCTTCTAATAATTCTTTGTAGTCTTAACATTCCTAACCAGCAAGAATACACGAAACCGAAACTCGGGCTGCCCGGGACTTGTGATTCTGTAAGTTCGACAAATGTGGTTCGCTGGTAGTGTTTTGGTCAGCCTGTTTCGATGTTTCAAATTTTGTGCAAAAGGCATGTTCAATTAATGGAATGTGCATACACACAGCGGTCCATTCCGATTGTGCCATCTGGATGTGGCGGAGGGTCGCAAGGAGTCACACATGTAATATGCAATCTGCCAAGAGGTTGGGGCAAACTGCTGCTCGGCTCGGGAAAAACGTGCAAATAGGCGAAAGGCCAAACTGCCGTAGGTCGTAGGAATGTACCCCGAGCCACTCAGAGGGTGCCCTCTTTAAAGCTGGTTCAACCTTCACTCTTTTACTCTCTCACTTTATACAATCAAGACTCTATCTCAACTAATAAGAGCATGTTGCTACAACCCTCATATCAGACTCGCCCTTATCAGACTCGCAACATTCGCCTGAGTGACGAGAATTCCAGGCGTTTAACTGTTCTCCACCACATTGAACCACTTCGCATCAAGCTCGCACTGCACAGTGATGCGAAAGTCTGATGAGAGGCACTCTGATAAGAGGCTCGTAGGAACACGCTACTGTTTACAACACCCCTGTCACAGCATGGCTTGCCACATCTGGCTTTACACACTCAAGTGCATGCGATCCACACAGACATGCTGCTGACAAATGTGAGTCCTTGAACATTTAGGGTTGCGTATATCCAATATCCCAGATGCTGCAAAATGGAGCGATTATCCACTATGAACTCTACAACCAGACGCCCAGACAAACGACAATCACACAAACGCCCAGCCAATCAGTCAGGAATATGCGAGAACAAACAGCTAACCAGACTTGGCTTGAACCGGACTAAAGCGTGCAAGCGTCTCAACTGACTGGAGGCAAGCCTGAGTGGCAGCTGAGGAACACACCCCTAGGCTGGGTTTTCGGTGGCTAAACCCTTGTTAATCATCTCGAGTTGTGCGTCAAGACTTCCCGCGACTGCGAATGCATCCTTCATCTCCTGCACCTGCACATCCACCTTAACGGCAGCGCTCAGCTTGTCCCTCCCCCCCACATCCTCCCGGATTGCCTGCAGCACTTTGGCAACGTGAGCCATGCTTGGGCGGCTTGCAGTGCGCTCCACAGTGCAGCCGACTGCCAGCTGAGCCACGTGCAGCACGGCATCCCCAGGGGCGTCCATCTTGGGGTCCCTGAGGCTCCCCATGTCAGCCGAGGACACACACTCGGATGCCTGAGAGAGTGGAAGAGGATGGAAGGAAAAGGAAGAGGGGTATTGAGGCAAACACAACATAGGAAGTATTTCACCACACCCTTTCACATCGATTGCAGAAACACACTTATGAAAATATGCAACGAGCTAGTCATAATGCTTACCCACTGAGTGATGTGTATGGCTTCTCCAGTCGGCTCAGTGAGTGCAGGACGCCCCGTGAGAACCACAAGCATGAGCACACCAAAACTGCAACCAGCAGAAGAGGGTGAGGGCAACGATGGTGAGGCGCAGAAAAAAACAAGAATCTAGACGGTCGCAGGATCTTGATGGGAGTCTTATCTCACCTGTAGACATCGCTGGCGGGAGTTGCCTTGGACGTCCTGGAGTAAACTGGATCCACATAGCCCGGTGTTCCCATGATTCGAGTAGTGCCCACTGTGGTGCCCTCCCCCACCCTCACAAGCCCAAAGTCTGCAATCTTGGGCTGATGAGTGGTTTCGGGTGTGTAAGTGAAAATGATGAAGTTCACACAATGCATGTGGGTCTGACAATATGATTACAGAGACAAAGATTTCATACGTGATGGTCAAGTAAGTGCCAGTAGGATGTTTAAAAAATCCAGATCTAAGTGGTGTACCAACACCTTATGTCGCCTTCCACAGCACCATGTGAGTTTGACACATTACTGGTGTAGGCCCCGTTATTTGATTCAATCCATTATCCACTGTCTTGGATACGGACTTGCCTAGACTCCTGGAATCGACAAAACAAAGGTGCACCAGCATGTAGTTTATAGTCTCCTCATGAAAAAGAGCTTGCCTGCATGTCAGCAGTGATGAGGACGTTTGCAGGTTTGATGTCGCGATGCACAAGGCCAAAGCTGTGGAGATACTCAAAGCCACGTGCAATGCCGATGAGAATGTCCAGCCGCTGCTTCAGAGTCAAAGGAGAAGCAGCTTCTGCAAGGAGCCACAGCATGAGTGACATATTATGAGCGCCACAGCATGACCGCCTAGTATAAGCGCCATAGATTGAGTGACGTAGTATGAGCGCCACAGATTGAGTGGCACAACACAAATCCATCGGAGGAGTGGAGCACACACCTGGACCAATCCATCTGTGCAGGTCACCGTTGGGCACATATTCGTAGATCAGGACTTGCTCCGGCTGTGTCCTCAAGTCGCCTCCGATCGCAAATCCGAGAAGCCTCACAATGTTGGGATGGTTCTTGTCGGCCATCTGCTGGACCTGACCATTAGAAGAAGAGAACGAGTCAGGAATAGGAAAGAAGGAAGAGTGTGAGAAACTATAAATAAGGAAAGATGGAGATGAAGACACAATGAAGAAAATGAGTGAGAAGCAGGCCCAGAAGGAAGATTGTGAAAGGCAGCAAAGGATACAGAAGCAGAGAAAATATGAGGTCATTAAGGAGGCTAGTAGGGATCAGATTTGGACACGGAAGGTGAAACCATTCTTGGAAAGTTCTATTCAAGAAGATATCCATAGTAATCAGATCTTGGCGAAAGAAGAAGAACCCTTTCAATTAAAGCGCCTATATTAAGTTGTTGAGGGAAAGCAAAAAGTACCATGAGAGTAGAATCTGCATTCCTGCCATCTCCTGACATGCTTGGCTCACCTCGCTCTGGAAGTCCACGTCGATCAGCTTGGCTCGCTTCACAGCCCACACTGTTGTGCCATCGCGAGGAGAAACGCCCTTGTAGACATCACCAAAGGCACCCGAGCCAAGCTGGTTGTCCTCCGACCAATCATTGGTGGCCTTGAGGACCTCAACCAGAGAGAACTCGGTGCAGTGGGAGGCTGCTTGGCTGGCAACCACACCTGCTCGTCAGGGGGGGAATGGAGATACACTTTCTGAAACTTTTTCCTCGCATCTGTTGTTTGGCTGGCAGGAACCACACAGGACTGCGAAATTGGAGTCTAAATGTGCAGAGTGTAAACGTTGAGCAACTGCTGCATCTTCCTACCTTTTGGCTTCCACTGCATCTTGTGCTCGAAGTAGAGCAGTGCAGCAACCAGAAGCAGGAGAACGACCACAGCAGCAACTGCAATGCCAATGATGACTCCCACTGATACACCCCCTCCTCCCCCGGATGCTGCTGTTGAAGAAAACTCGCTGCTGGTGCTGCTGCTGTTGCTGCTACTGCTGCTGTTTGTGGCTGATTTTGCACAAGCATAATGGCCATCACAGCAATTTGCATTTCAAGGCGGTGCAGTGGAGCAGATTGTCATATGAGACACGAATCATATAACCAGATGAGAGGTAAAACTGGCACAAAATGAAAATCACATGGGCTGTGCAATACTCCTGACAAAATGACATGAATACCCAGATTCGACTTGGTTCTTAATGTTGCCAGTCCATGGTGGAAAAAAAACACGCACCATGGAACAGCACACCCAATTGGATATTTGAGGCAAGTGCTACAATGAGACGTCCCTACAGCATGACTCATGTGGTTCCTTGCTCAACGAAGATTCTCGACCAACAATCGTTAGGTACCTGGTGCTGGTTTGCCACAGGTGTTGCAGAAGGAAGGGCACGTCTGGCAGAAGGCTGTCTTGTTCGACTGTATTGGGCCACAGGCGGTATAGTCAGGTGGGCACGTGAGGTTTGTGCCGCTGATGTTGCTGTTGTGGCAAGGAGAGGAGAGAAAGTGGAAGACATGGCATAGCCGCATAGGGGGATAACGTTGAACTTAGTGTCGCAAAGGCTCCAAGCCTTAGACAAAGATATCTCGAGCCCCCCCCCTGTGCATTTGAGCATACTGTTCATTTTCCCGGGTGAAAAGAATCTCTACACCCACCATGCATAGCTCAATGCCATGCGTGGACCATCACATATGAGTTCAAGCACTGGGTGACTGGCTGGTTTGTCACGTACAGTGAATCGAGGGTACTGAGCCCTCCAAAAAAAGTTGGAAGCGCTCCATTGAGCCTTGTGTCATTGATTCTCCTGCCAAAATCAAAGTCAGATGCGAGGGTCTTCAGAATGTGTTCAGATCTCAGGGTAGGGCCACAGTTTCAACCGCAAAGGGAATGGGTGCATGCTCAACTCCACACGCGCAAGGGAAGGGCCGAGCTGCGCCAAGCCCCCGATTTGATGTGCCGCGAACCGTGAGCCGCATGTACACCATTGCTTTCAGCCACTTAGCAGATCAAACAATGATAGCAGATGGTACCACAGTCCACATGTGCACTGTGCTGGTAGCACCGGACTGACCCAAGCCAAAAAAGAGCACATACAAAGGGTTTACAAAAACACCTTGGAATCCATATTGTATAGCTCAGACTTCATGGTGTTCAAGCATAAGGGGGTGTTTAAAGAAGCGTCGGACGTCAAAATTAGCTAACTTGACGTCTGACACCCCAAAACACCCCGAGTTTGGTACGACGTCATTTTGGTTCGAAAAATGCACTTTTACGTAGCAATGACAATACTCACCAAAATGCGAAATTCCGAATCGAGCTCGCACAGTATTCACTGCCAAATCTTGATGAGTGGGTTACTCGCTTTTGAAAAAATTATGGGGCCGCCCGTCTCCTACGGAATCTACCGAATCTAGCTCCCGAAGTCCCGTTTGGGAGCCCCCACTTTTAACAATGACATTGGAGGTACAGTACGTCGTACATTCAGGTTACCCTCCTTCACCAGCCCTGATATGTCAAAACCTTAGAAACCGACCTACTTTGGTACACCCCGTTACATCGCCACATTGGTACACCACTCAATCTAAGGCATATTTCTCGAAACAGTTAGTGAAAAAAGGTAAGCAGGGACTGTGGAAACGCTGTCAAAAGCAAGTCAGTGGTTTGGGCTAGAGTGATGGACACAGCTCAGGCAGCTTTTACAGAGTTCTGAGCTGAGCGAGCCTGCTGATGCTGTTGGGGATGGAGCCTGTCAAATTGTTGGAGGAGAGATCCCTGTGTGGCGTGGGTTTTAAATTTTTGATCCAGGGTGGTGAGAGGAGGACGGTGGGAAGCATTGGTTGGCGAATAGAGGAAAACGTTGTGTAGCGGACGTGGAGCAAAAAGAAGCAGCATCGTGAACTATGAATTGAGTGGGGACAGCTTTGGAGAGGAGATGCTGGGGAGGGTTGGACGAAGTAAAATTAGAATCGGTGAGAATGTCAGCAGGGACAGCGCCACACACAAGCCACACAAAAAAGCGAGGAGACACAATGGTGAGATACATTGCTTGCCGGACAGATATAGGAGTGAATAACGACAATTTATCTATGTGTAATGAGCTCAGGGACTCAATGGTGGACAAAACATTGATAACTGGCTCGTTGGAGGGGGGGACAATGAACAGGGCCAGGCTTTTTGTGAACTCGTGCAACAAGCGAAAGAACTCAGGGGTGAAAAAGAATAATGCACATTGGAGAGCGTGAAAGGTGCTAGAGTGCAGAATGACATGGCTTCTACAAGGCTAGATGCCAATCGGCAGCTAAGGGATCATCCAAGCGTGCTTTGGAAATGCGACAGCTAGATGCACAACGACCATGAACTGGAAAATCGTGTCAAAAGCAAGTTGATGCTATGGGCAGATGTGACAAAATCGGCGCATGACTCTAGGGGGTTTCGTACAGAGAGGAGAGCAGAGTGAGCAAGGAGATGCTGCTGGCAATTCATCTAGGCGCATGATTTAGTGAGATTTGAACAGAGAGGTGAGTCCAGTGAGCGAGGTGATGCTTTTGGGAATGGAGCCAGTCAAATCATTGTGTGAGAGATCCCTGTGTGGCATGGGTCCGGAGAATTGAGATGAGAATAGAGGGCATGGCAGGAGAAATCGCAAGCACACATCAGCAAGCCAAGAAGGTGGTGAGAGGAGCATGGTGGGAAGCATTGCTTGGTGCACGGAGGAGAACGCTCTGTGGCGGACTTGGGGCAAATGGAGGGGAGAAAGGTGGGGCAAAGTGGGGCACAAGGAGGGCAAGAGGGAGCGAAGGGACGGGATGGTGGCTGGGAGGACGATGGGGTGGACAAGGGAAAGGTGGAAAGGGGCACGTGGATGGGTGCACACGGGGAAGTCCAACGGGAGGTGGGAGATGAATAAAAGCGTCGCCTGGCTCGGGACAGCAATGCCAAGTCTATGGTCAGCACCCCCCCAAAACAAAAGCAGCTCCCTCCTGATGGTAAAACAGCGCACCGTTCTAATGAAATGTGGATCTGATCATCAGCTGCTGCCTACTTACAGTTGCACCAAATTAGTGAGGCCTCCAATTCCAAATGGGATGAGCCCGGTAAGCCGATTACCTCCCAGATTTCTGTTCACAAGTTGGTGAAATGAAACGTGGGCATGGATCGTGGGAAGCATTGCATGGCACACAGAGGTGAACGTTCTGCCCCCAGCCTGTGGACCGAGCGGCCGGAGAACAGGCCGTGTAGATTTAAAGTTTGCCATTCCAGCAGGTGATATGCTCGAATATGGCATTTCCCCTGCCAAACCCTCGGATACGTCAGTTTGGTGAGCGAAATGAGCGGACCTAACCTGAGACGCCCCTCCCCATTCGGGAGGGGCGGGGGAGGGCCAGTCGAATGCTCATTCCTACCCCCAGATTATTGGTAAGGGAGGTGCAAAATGTGGGTGTGGATACTTTTTGTTAATGCTGTACAGAAGGACTTGGTTGTTTGTAATGAACAGTCAGTCAAGGGAGGACCTTGGTTAGTCTATCAACCTAGGTCGACCAGAATTGTCGTTTTGAGAAAGGATAGAAACTTGCTGAGTGGTTGTCACAAGGTCTATCTGTTACTTCAGTTCTCAGAGGTTGTCCGAGCATGTTTTGGAGCTGGGGAGAGGAGAGCACAAGACACCAAAACCTAGGTTGTGTTTTGGTTATCCAGTTGTTTCCATATGGAAATGATGCTGGATGCGAGTTGATGCTATGGGCATGCAACCTTGGTGAATGAATTGAGTGCGCTCGTACAAAGTTGTGAGGAACCCGAACGAGGTGATGCTCCTGGGAATGGAGCCTGTCAAAGAGTTGTATGCAAAATCCCTGTGTGGCGTGGTTTGGAAGAGGTGAGATGAGAATAGCAAGGATGGCAGAAGGAACGCCAAGAACACACAAGCGAGTCAAGGGGAGGGTTAAACGAGCATGGTGGGATCCATTTCTTGCGGCAAGGAGGGTTAGGTCCCGGAATGTCTGTTCTTGGACAGTTTTTGGACAACTCATTTTGGTGTTGAAAACTGTGCTCATGCCTTACAGGCGATATACACATTTCGCCGTCACATCTCCACAGATTGGGGCGTTTCGCCTGCCCATCCGCGCGGATCTGGCATTTTACCACAAGATGCACACGCATCTAAGCGTTTCCCCTGGCGATCCACGCCGATCTGACGCTTCCCTATTAGCGGATCTGAAAGTGCGCTTCTTCACTCCCCTCTCGCTAACCTTGGTGATGGGGGATATTATAGTATTATGTGGGCTCCGAAAGCAACGTGAAATCATGGTATTATGTGGGCGCATCGCCTCATGTTAACCCCTTACAGAGTTCCTAGTGCAGTGAGAGAGGAGATGCTGTCAGGAATAGAGCCAGCAACGTCCCAGGAACGCAATTGACTGTGTGGGTGGGATGGAAGAAGAGTGGGGGCTAAAGTAGTGGTCAGAGTTGTGAGTGACGCGAGCTTTCAGGCGATTATCATGAAACGAACAACCACAAGATGCAGTGTTTAACGCCATAGGGAGCAACCGTCGGCGAGGACTCAGAGCATAAGGTGCAGTTTCAGCAGGCAGCAGGCAATGACGCAAGGGGACGAGCACGCACTCACATAGACTCAATCATGCCGTTAGGCGGCATGTCCGGGTCATTATTGTAATCGTTGTAGTCAACACAACTGACACCTTCAGCAGATAAACAGTTCTCTTGCTGGAACCACCCTGGGATCGTCTTTCCCCATACCTTCTGGCAGTCCAGGAGAAACAAGACTGACAGTTGGGGCAGGAGAGGAGAGGGACGTGACGCCGGTTGAGTGGATGGAGCCCCACTGATGTACACAAACTTGCACTAGTACCACGCCAATGCATGTTCATGATGCGTCTGGAGAAGGCTTATTGGCAGCATTCTGGTTGCAGCGCTTTGCAATCCAGCGTGAGCGCCAAAGCAATACGCACGCAGCTCACTAGTACTAGGGACATCAGAGAAAATGTTTGTTGTCAATTTCGACTTGGGGTTAGGGACCATGAGGGCACCTCATGCGATGCGAGTTGAAGAGGAAGGTACCTTGAGATTCTACGAAGTATGCGTGGCACGAGGAGACGAAGGCGGCAAGCCAAAGCGCCGCAGAGAGCGTGAGACATGCGCGCTGCATCGCGGCTGACTCGTGCGACAACCGCCGGAAGTTCTGACCAGGAGTGCTGTGCTGCTAAAACGTCTCAGTAGGAACGCGACCAGACCAGAGCAGCGGCTCAGCGGAGGGAAAGCGAGCTTTTGCGCGTGGAGGTTGGAAGCACTGGCACTCCTCTCACGAGCTCTGGCTGATTCTGCTCATTGTTGGCTAACCACTCATCCAGCCTGGTGCGTGGTGTTCCAGATCCCAAAAATTAGGGTGGAAAACAGGGCTCTCGGTTCAAGGGTAAATATCCGGAATGTACATTCCGGGTCTTTCCCGCAGAAATCCTGATTTTGAGGTTTTCAGACTCACAAACCTCCTTACTCATTCCGTGTGTTTCCAAGGAACTCCCTGAGCAATCCGGATTGCGTGAAAATTTATCCTGCGAGGAAACTTACCCGTATTGGAATTGCAACCCTACACCCCCCCCCCAATTCCTTCGCAACCTTGACCAATTTTCCACGCAATCTGAAGGTGCGCCACGTGGAACTTTCACAACTACAGAAGTGCAGGGTTGTCAGACTTATCACAACCCCTTAATATCACCTTTGTCAGGTTGCGCACTGTCCCTCTAAGTTGGACGCATTTCTGTCCTGATTAAGGAAAGAGTCGAACTTGGTGTGGTGGTGAGGGACAGCTGCAGCAGCAAGCGTGTGTTCTGTATTCTTCTCCATCGTTTCTTCCATCGATGTCCTTCCTGTTTGTACTCGAAGTGCCCACAGGTTCCGCTGATATGTAGGGAGTCCCAAAAAACACTTTGAATTTCAGATTGAAATGTCAAAGTTATCCTGAAATAAAGAGAGATTTCCCAAGGAATGTTGTATTTTCACTAGTACTTTGACATGGTTTCAAAGCAGGTCCTTCTGCTCGGGCCTGCTCATCACGCTTCCAACCATTTTATTTTTAGTACTTACCAGTAAACGTGTATCAATAAAGAGGCAAAAGCATAAAACCCATTTGGGACCGAATTCCGTTCGAGATGGCATCAACCGTAAACACGCAGCTCTTTTGCAATTTTAAGGTTGATGCCACCCCGAGTCGCATTTGAGGGCCCTAAGGGCTTTAGTTTTTCTTTTAATGCCCAAAAATATAGTTTGTATAAATGTCCCACCTCACAGGGTCACAATACGACGTGCCCCACAAACCTGAGCTGTATCGCGAACCAAAAATATTTACGTGTTGACGAAGGCGATGTATGACAGGTTTGAAAACAAGGTCTTGGGGCAGAAAGTTGCCGGACCTTTTTTGCTCACGCCTCTGGCGGGGCGAGGACCCTTTTTATCATTTCCCATTTAAATTTATGGTAATTTGCTGCCAGATGGGAAACATTGGGCGACTGATCTATACGGACAATATTTGTTCTCAAAACTAGAATGCGTCATCGTTATGTTCAGCGTCATTACGAACAGTTCTGAATCATTAAAATGTGCATGGTTTTCCGTTCTGACCGACGGAAAGATGTATCGACAATTCAAGACGCGACACATAGGCACAGAACTGTTTCAACTCCTACAACGCAATCGAGCCCCTCGGTTTTCGTTAACAATTTTTGCTAGTAGCCCTTCTTCGTTATCCACGCCACAACTGACCCAGTACTACGACTAATATAAATATATAACATATTAATTGAACTTACACCTTGAGCCTTGTATCATTGGATTTATCTCGATATATTTTATTATTTATGAGTCCAACCAAAACAGCTGAGGCTTCTTTAGATGACATCCACAATGCAAAAAAAAACAAAAAAACAAAAAAACACATATGTGGCCCAAAATGAGTTCGTGATACGATGCTTTTAGGTTTTCCGATGAAGACTCTGATTTTTTTCACACATATAATATTTTTCGTGACCACAAACTTGCTTCTAGTTCATTCATTATTTTACTAAATGTTATTGTCTCTATTTTGCCAAACATGATTTTAGAAATATTATATGACTATTATGGAGAATAAACATCAGCATGAAATTCATGTTAACACGGCCCACTTAGTTATATTTTTCCGAGTTCTGGGTGATTTATGGCGCAAATAACAAAGAAGGGCCACTAGCAAAAATACTGACGAAAACCGAGTGGCTCGGTTGCGTTTGGGGGATTGAAACAGGTTTATGCATATGTGTTACGTCTTGAGTTGTCGATACATCTTTCCGTTGATCAGAACGGAAAACCACGCAAATTTTGATGATTCAGAACTGTTCGTAATGGCGCTGATCAGAAAGATAACGTATTCTAGTTCTGAGAACAAATCTTGTCCGTACACATCAGTCACCCGATGTTGCCCATGTGGCAGCAAATTATCTTTAAATTTACGTAAAACTAGTTTTCCACTTCGTTGTACACACGTGTTTGCAATTGGATGCAAAGCTAGTATAAAACCAGGCCTGGGCTTCGAATCTTGCTATTGGCCCACATGAACTGATGGCTTGGGCCAAACCATCGAGCCCAAAACCAACTTGGTCAGCAGCTCCTGATTGGTTATCATTTTTCGTGGCGAGAGGCAACCAATTGTTTTGCCAGGGTAACAGCTTCGCCTTGTGCACAGGTTTTTCCTGGCACTCTTGGGGGTAACAATGGGGCATCTTGGCGTAGGACACCTGTGGGTAACCCTCGCCCCCAAGGCCATTTTGCCTTGGCTGAATTTTGGGATGCAAACGGTGAACTGCGAAAACGTAATCCCTACCATGCTGAACCGAGCTCGCGTTCCGGTAGTGGTAGATACCTGGGCGTGCGTGACCCCCGGTACGGCTACAACCAGGCTTCAGGACATGCCCGGCGACATCCGTCGACATTCCGATGCACTGAGCTGAAACTTTCTGGACCCTTCAAACGACTTACGAAATCACGCCGAACCTACATCGATGGGATGTCTGAAGTATGTCGATGAAATCCGTCGACATCCCATTTTGGTTTGGTTGGAAACAGGCCTCTCGATGTTCGGGTAATTACCGTGCTTACTCAAGGAAAGCATTGTGATTTTGGTGTGCTACCCTGATTTCTACACATCCAGATTTGAAGTACGCGTCCACTAGCAGACTAGACAACAACATTCCACGTCCGATTTCCGAGTAGTGGAATGTATCGCCCTGTAATATCCGACTGTAAGGCCTGGTTACCCGGCTAGAAACCCCTCTTCTCCGTTGAGGGAGGGATTTGGGCAAAACCGCACCCAAAATCCCAAGTGGCCCGTTTGGGTTTTCGGCAAACGCGCCACACCTTGATTGGATGTTGCAGCTTCCCCAACCAAGCCTCTCTAACTCAAACTCGTTTCCCCCAACCAAGCCTCTCCGAACCAAACTCATTTCCCCCAACCAAGCCTCTCTGAACCAAACTCATTTCCCCCAACCGAGCCTCTTTCAGCCAAACTCGTTCCCCCCAATCAAGCCTCTCTCAGCCGAAATCGTCCCCCCCAACCAAGCCTATCTCAGCCAAGCTCGTTTCCCCAAAGAGGTTTGGTTGGGAAAAAACGTGTTTTCTTGGACCACGTCTCTGTGCTTCATTTAGGTGGGGCATTTGCTCCTGTGGGTAGGGCGTAGTTTTTGTAATCAGCAATAAATTGGTGAAGTGGTGGTTGCACTTGTAGTCAATCGTTTGGGTTTTCCTTTTTAGCACAATTCGGCTTAGAATAACATCCAAGCACTTGTAGATGAAATTGGTGAAAGGAAAAGTTCAGTGCACTTAAAAAAATGTGAACTGGACCCTGAAACCTTGCACATGCCAAGAAACCCCCAAAACTGCCCTGCAAAAAGTCAACATTTTTGGGGCTACCCAGCTTGGACGAGTTGGTTGCGCGACTAACTCGGATTCCGCAGGGGGCCCTTCGGGGACATCGAGAGAGAGGCCTGGTTGGAAACCCCCCAGCACAAGCAGCCGTGCTGCCAGCCCTCACATGCGGAAATTCGTTGACTCGGCAACTGCCCCACAGCACTTCTGGCAGTTACGTGCATACAGAATTATAGAAGGCACTGCGATAATGATTGCATGTCGGGTGCGACAGCAGATCTGGCGGTTACCGTCTGCCGACTGGGCGGATGGGCCTTGGCTGCCTCTACAGCGCGTCCCTTGGGGAGTGACGGAGCCACGTGTCCTGCCACAATCGAGGGTTTCGTTGTACCCAGGCCCAACAAATCATCCGCGATATGTTAGTACCAAAGGGGGAGCATCGATGCTGCTACACCTGACGTCAGCTTGCTTATTTGGGCCAAAAGGCGAGTTACCTGAAAATATCTTTTAATGTTGCGTGTTTCGTGTATGTTGGAAGGGAGTCCGGCGTTGCAAATTTGGCACCTTACAACATGGATAGGAACTTTTGGGTCGACTGAAAGGTTCATGCATAGGCGTGTTCGTTTCACTCCTCGGCTCTTTTTGTCAACATTTCTGTAACGTACTCCCCCCGGATATACGCCCCTCCGTATGTTAAGGCCTGTGGGCTTTATCCCGTTCACTGGGCCTTATAAACAGTATTTCATTAAACACCCCCCCCTTCGTTTTATGGAAACCTGTACCATATACGCCCCCCCCTGTTTTTCAAGGCCTATTGCGGGATGCTTATTTCATTACCATTATCGCATTACATTTACACGTGATTATAATGTTATATCAAGATAACCTAAGCTTTAGCAGAAATAGCTAGCTCTACGCCCTGCCTAGCATACATTTGCATACATAAAGCCTATCTAGATGCTCCATCAACTATCCAGATGCTGCACAGATTACAGGAGGCTACTCCTCTTTCTCCTCCTCCTCCTCCTCCTCCTCCTCCTCCTCCTCCTCCTCCTCCTCCTCCTCCTCCTCCTCCTCCCTCCTCCCTCCTCCTCCTCCCTCCTCCCTCCTCCTCCTCCCTCCTCCCTCCTCCTCCTCCTCCACCTCCTCCTCATTGTCCCCCCCCTCCTCAGCAGCAGCCACATCCTCTGGTGCCGCAGCAGCAGAGTTGTTCCTGGCGAATCCATCTGCGCCCACTTCATCGTCGACGTCCACTTCAGCCTATTTTTTGTTGCGCATATGCTGCAGAGTCAGGTAGTCTTCACTGCCGTCGAGAGAATTGCTGATGCCGCAGGTATTGAATGCCCTTTGAATGAGGGATGCCATGATTTCCCTCCACGCCTTGGAGATCCACTTAATGATCTCCTCTGGCAGGGGCTTGTTGATGTTGCCTGCGCGTATAAGAAATAGCCACTGAGTCAGGGAGCACTCAGAACAGGCAAGAAAACAGCAAGCTTGTTAAAAAGAAACTTACCCTTGGTGGTCTTGGTGTACATCCCGACCGAATCGAACCACTCTTGGTAGAAGTGGCAGACACGAGCCTTGAACGCGCGATTCACGCACATGTCTAGCGGCTGGACGACGGACGTGCAGCCGGCGGGGATGACTCTAGGCACCAGGCCGAACGTGGCATACGCCTCATTGACTTCCGCAGTCAGGTTTCCTTAGTAGGAGTCGAGGATGAGCAGGGCCGACCGACCGTGTAGACCGAAGCGCGGCTTTGTGAACGGCTTGTCTGCCTTGAGCAGCCACTCCTTCACTCCCTCAGCGTCCATCCACCCGTTTGGCTATGCTGCGATGACGACGTCTGCGAAGACAAGCACAGGAGTCAACAGCATCAGAAAAAAGAAGCAAAACAAGCCCGACAAATGAGATTGTACAAATGATTTATGCTAGTTTACCTTTCGGGAAATCCCCCTTTGGCACCGTCTTCCTCTTGAAGTAGACCCATGGCTTACGCTTCGCCGGCGGCGGTGCAGGCAAGCATCACGATGATTCGTTCCTTCTGGTAACCCGTCGTTCGGATAGGGACGCTGTTCGTGACGATTTCCTCAACGGTGCGCTCGGTTGGCATCTTGAGCCAAAGGGGTGTCTGATCAGCGTTGATGATCCAGCACTCCTCGATTTCGTACAATCGACGGACCTCACGACAGAAGTGCCTGAAATTCTCGACTTTGACTTGGCATGCTGAGGGAGGGGGGATGGCGGGGATGGAAAACACATGGGAAAGCCAACGGTCAATAGGCGCTGTTAGAGATTCAACCAGCATGGGCGCCAGTGAGCAGCGTAGAGGTTCGAAAGGCAAAGCAGAGAAATAAACGAGAAAACACAACCTACCGGTGGTCAATTTCTGACCGACTTTGGTCTTCGCGTGAATGGAGAGGTTCCAACGAGCTCTGAACTGCTCAGTCCAACAGTGGGAACCTTGCCACTTCACCTCCGGATGCAGGTGCTTCATCAGCTCCCGCAACCACATATGGAGCTTTGACACAGGGACAGGGGAACCCACAGCGCGCGCAGGAAGGAAGCGGGCGTATTCTTGCGTTTCCATGTCGGAGTACCACGACAAACGCCCATGGCCGTGAAGTCGCTTACGACACCCAACGGTACCCTCCAACTCGTGCTCAGCCTTAATCCAGTCGTTGATGCGATGGCGCGAGACACCTGCCTCTCAAGCCACCTCTTTCTTTATCTTGACCTCCTTAAGATGCCCAAGCCAGAAGAGCTTTTCCTTGGCGGTGTAGGAATTCCGCTTGAGCTTAGTAGCGCGGTTCCTGGGACACGAGGGGGGGAGGGGGGGGGGGGGGGGGAGCATCACGGTTTTCAGTAGAGGGGTGGGGACGCTTTCTGCCCTCAGGGAAGGACGGGACATGCAATTTCTTGGGAAGTCCATCTTGCGATCAGTACTCAGCCTCGCCGCCACCGTCTTCTGCATCCTCCGGCCAATCGCCGCCGTCCGGGATTTCCTTGTCTCGCGGGGGGTCTTCGGGCTGGCCATCATGGTTGCCTTTGTCACGACCGGCAGGTTCATAATCACGGGGGGCTTCCTCCTCAGGAAGAAGCAGTGTCAAGGTGGGGATGCCGTTCTTAAATGCACGGGCAGGCGGTGCAGGCGGCGCGGGAGGTGCAGGAGGGGCAGGAGGTGCGGGAGGAGCGGGCAGAGCAGGAGTGGGAGGGCAACACTAGGTAGAGGGAGGCACGGCGGCTCTAAGTCGTGTGGGATCGCTAGGACGGCCGAAAAGAACGGAGAGGCCTGAGCCTGAGAAGCTAGCCATAACTCCCGCTAGGGGAGCTGGTGCGGGTTCTTGCTCATTCCATCGAGGAACAAAATAATGAAAGCAAGGTGACGGTACCCCCTCTCAAGAATGCGGCCAGTCTTCCTCGTCGATGATTTTTATCGATGAGGAAGATTCCATTTTTTTACAACACATGGCAAGATTCCTTGCCATGTGTGCAGGTTCGAATATGTGCTGGCAATCCTTTCGTTTGAAGGTTCGACAGCATCTACATTCAGCCTTCTGTGTGCCACATACCCCATCCAACACGGAAGTACCAGTCACATGGCCCATGACACCCTACGCGGGGTGTGCAGGCACAGCACAGCACCGCTCAGGCATCTCATTGGACCGCAAGGCATCTTTCCTGCCTCGCGTAGATTCCAGAGGCTTCTGCGTGAGATCTGTTAACGTGTTTGCTATGGGAGCACGCCCACCATCACACAATTGTCATGAGCTACATTTTGGTATACTACAAAAAATATTATGTAAAAATCATTTTGAACGCCCATGGGCGTATAAATTAAATTCAAAGAAACGCTCCCCCCTCATTTTCAAACCAGACCCCTAAACGCCCCTAGGGACGTATATCAGAAGGAATATGGTATAGGCATCTCTAGTTAGTTTAGATATGTTTGTTATAGGCTAGCTAGGTCAGTTCTTAAAGGGGCAAAAACTGTATTTGTATCACCCCTCCCCTCTTCCTAGACACAACTTTTCCCCCTACTCTAACATGGTATTGAGCTTTTTCCGCTGTTGCTCATGCTTCCGCCATAATTGTAGACTCATTTTTTTCGCGCTTGTCTCTCTTCTCCCTCTCTCTCTCTCTCTCGCTCTCTCTCTCTGTCTCTCTCTCTCTCTCTCTCTCTCTCTCTCTCTCTCTCTCTCTCTCTCTCTCTCTCTCTCTCTCTCTCTCTCTCTCTCTCTCTCTCTCTCAATTTCGCGCACCTCCCCCTTGTCAACAAACATATAATTCTGTCTACACATATTTAGTTTGTTATAGCCTAGCTATGTCAGTTCTTAGAGAGGACAATATTCTTGTACTTGTATCTACCTCCCCCCTCCTCCTAGTCACACTTTGACATGGTATTTAGCTAGGTTAGTTTTTTTCTGCCGTGAGTCACGCTTCCGCCGCTACATTTTTTTTTTCTGCACGTGTGCAACTCTCTCAATTTCGCGCATCTCCTGCCCTCCAATTTCGTGCTCTGTAGCCTCGATGCCCTCCCCCTAGCATTCGCGTTGTTTCGTACGGCAGCGAGCAGGCCGGCGAGCCAGCCAGCATGCTAACCAACACGCTCGCCAGCACACCAGCTAGCACGCTAGCCGATACGCCAGCCAACGCGCCAGCCAGCACGCTAGCCAGCACGCCGCCAGCGCGCTAACCAGCCCGTCAGCCAACGCGCCAGCCAGCTAGCCAGCACGCTAGCCAGCTAGCTCGCCAGCCGCGTTTGCCAGCGCGCCACCAGCAGTGCTCGCCAGCTCACCGCCAGCAGCACCAGCCAGCTAGCCGCCAGCAGCGTCCGCCAGCTCGCCGCCAGCACCTGCTGCTAGCTACTCGCTAGCAGTGCCAGCCAGCTCCTCACTAGCCAGCTCTCTGCTGCGCCAGCCACTGCTCCCAGCTAGTCGCCAGACAGCCGCCACTGCCACTGCAACCACTGCTGCTGCCTCTGCCACTGCCGCTGCCGCCACTACTGCTGCAACTGTGCCGCCACTACTGTTGTCACTACCGCTGCAGCCCTTGCCATTACCACAACTGCTGCAGCCATTGCCGCTGCCGCAGCCACCCGCTGCCACTACAGCCACTGCATCTGCCGCCACTGCAGCTGCAGCAACCTGTGCTGCCGCCGCTGCCGCTGCCGCTGCCGCCACTGCCGCTGCAGCTGCTGCCCTTGCAGCCACCGCTGCCGCCGCTGCCCTTGCAGTTGCCGCTGCCGCCGTTGCCCTTGCAGCCGCCGGTGCTGCTGCTGCCATTGCAGCTGCCACTGCCACTGCAACAGCCCACGCTGCCGCCGTTGCCACTGCTGCAGTTTCTGCCGCCACTGCCGCCACTGCCCTTGCAGCCGTCACTCCCGCCGCTGCCCTTGCAGCAGCAGCTGCCGCCTCTGCCCTTGCAGCTGCCACTGCTGCCACTGCCGCCGCTGCCACTGCTGCAGCTGCTGCCGCCACTGCCGCTGCTGTTGTCACTGCTGCTGCCGCCGCTTGCGCTGCCGCCGCTGCCCACTGCCGCAGCTGCTGCCGCCACTACCGCTGCTACAGCCGTCGCTACCGCATCTTGTGCTCCCGCCGATGCCACTGCCGCAGCTGCTGCAGCCCCTGCCGCTGCCGCTGCAACCGCCAACTGCAGCCACCACTGCCGCCGCTGCCCAGAGAAGCCTTGAGGGCGCTAGAGGTAGATCTACTCGTGCGGACTACCCTGCAGGAACGCTGTGGAGAAGTCGAATGAATGAAGCTCATAGTCACACTGCGTGGCTATGTGGAGAACGACCAAAAGAGTAGTCATCTTCGGGGTCGGGGAGAAGGTCTGGAAGAAGTCCACACCCTCACGCTGACTGAAGCCTCTAGCCACGTAATGCGCCTTGAAACTTCGGCGACTATCCATGCGCGTGCTTCACCCTGTAGATCCGCATGCTATCGACTACGTTCGTCCCAGGCGGGGGAACTACGTCGATGAAACTGCTTGTGGATCTGTAGAACGCCATCTCAGCCTCCATGGCTTGTATCCACAGGGCTGCCTAGGGCCCCGACACCACCTCAGCGTAAGAGCATGGAACAGAGATGTTGAAAGCGTCTGGGTCTCTCTGGGGATACAAGCATGGAGCAGACATGGGGAATAGCGCAGCAACGTAGGCCAACTCGTATTGCCTGTCCTCTAGCACGTCACTGCCAAGGGCAGGTGCACCCCCGTCGGACGGAGGACAGGCAGTACCAGCGACCAGAGCGGCAGCATAGTCAAGGCGGTGGCTAGCTGCAAAGTCAGCGACAGCAGCGACAACTGCAGTGACAGCCTAAGGAGGAGCAATAGGGCCAGTGACAAGCGATGGAAGCAAGCGCGACAGGGTAGAACGAGCAGCGCGAGCAGTGTAAGAGAGAGGAGGCAGGGACTGCGGGAGCGAAGACGGATGAGGTAACGGAAGCACGGGGACTAGAGAAGCACTAGAGTGGAGGACCATAAGGTGGACACTAGGACGGAGAGAGACAAGACGAGCACTAGAGGGGCGATGGACCCAGTGGGGAAGAACTGGGGACTGGGGACGGGGAGCGCGAGGGAAACGAGCCGGGAAAGAGTCCAGAGGAGAGAACAACGGGTCGTAAACAGGGTCACGTAGCGGAGGGGGAACGGGCAGGCGGACAAGGGAACCTGGAGTAAGATCAAGGAGACGAAGGGCAGACTCAGGCTGCTCTTGCTGCGGTGGCTGCGCCTGCTGCTGCGGCGGCTGCGCTTGCTGCTGCGGCTGCTGCTGCACCTGCTGCTGCGGGTGCTGCTGCTTCTTCGGCTGCTGCTACCAAGACCTCCAGCAGCACCGCAGCTACCATCGGCACTCCCCGAAACAGCACCCCAAGATTAGCACCCTCGGACGCACCACCCACAGAACTAGAACCTCTGGAGTCAGCACCCCCAAAACTTGCACCTCCAGAATCAACACCCTCCGAGTCAGCACCCCCAGAACCAACACCCCCAATGCCAACATCTCCAACACCAGCACCCCAAGAGCCCACTGCTCCCTTCGGCTGCGGCTGCTGCTGCAGCGGCAGTTGAGTCTGATGTGGAGGCTACTGCTGCTGCTAACGCATGGGGGGAAGCGGCTGAGGTGCCTAGGGTACCGAGGCTGGGGGAAGCCCCACAGGGACAGCAGGCACGCCCCCAGCAGCTGGGCCCCCAGAGTCAGCCGACTCCCCCACACGCGCAACTGAAGGGAACTAAGTGGCGTGGAAGACACCAGAATGGGCCATGCGGGGCAGGAGGAGTGCGGGAGCGGAGCAGGGACAAGGCACAGGGGTGCTGCAGTGCAGGAAGCGCCTGAAGCAGGGGAGCGGTCTCATCGAAGGTAACGTTACGAGACGGGTAAAAGCGGTGGTGTGACGGGTGGTAGAACAGCACGGGTCGGGTGGGCTATGGAGCGACAGGAGCAGGAAGCGGCAATTGCGACAGACGCAGCAGTTGGCGGGGACTCAGTGTGGAGTATAAAGAGACCTGACCCTGGGTCACGCTCAAACATGGCTAAGTGCCAACAGGTGGCTGTGTCTGCACAAGCGGCGTGGTCTCTCGCGGCCAGGGAACATAGTGGTGACGCCTCGGTCCTAAAGGGGACCGACAGCCACTAGGTTCCTGGCAAACGAGGGATGTGCAGACAGTGAGAGAGCCGAAGGGGACAGCTGGAAAAGAGAGAATGGTGGTGCTACATGCGGCAGCTGTGGCGGGGAGTCCACTAGTGTGACGCGGACAGGCGCAGAAAGCGGGGTGAGAGCAGTACTGTCTCTAAAGAAGCAACGAGACATGCCCGAGTCAAGGATAAAGGAGAGGGCCGCCATAGGAGGGGCAAGGGAGGAGCCGAGGGACACGTAGTAGAGGCTCCTAGACTAGACACAGTGGTAGGACCTAGACCCCTAGGCCCCAAGGCCTCCGGTCCTCCAGAGAAACCACAGTGGCCCCAGGGCAGTGACCGCCCCAAGGCCGCACATCCAGAGCCTCCACCGCGCCCAGCACCCCCAAGACCCCACTGCGCTTGCTGCCGCTGCTGCTGCTGTGGCTGCGCCACTGGTCAGAGAGCCTGGAAGCAGACGTCGAGGTCGTGGAGCCGGAATCCAAGGAGGTAACAAATGGGATCCTCTAGGAGTGTGCAGTCTAGGTGCAGGCTCACCAGCTGTAGATGGTGAGAGAGAAACCGAAGAGCGGAGGGAAATGCCCGACGGACTGGCCGAGGGACTGACCCTAACGAGGCCATCATTCCGAGAGGAGAGGCGTCGAGGAACTCTAGAAACGAGGAGGAGACTAGTAGGAGGCACTAGGTGCTACAGGAGCACTAGCGGAGGTAGTAGCAGCGGTGGTCTGTGGTCGGAGTCGTGACAGCGAGCAGGAGGCAAGTAGTAGCAGCGGCTAGCGGTAGGCTGATGATAGAAGGAGCGAGTGACAGTAAGACGGTAGTGGCGCTAGCTGGCGGGGGGCTGGTAGCAAGAGGTGGCAAGCTGGGATCGGTGGACAGCGGCTTGTGAGTGGCTTGTTGGAGGCTAGGAGCTGCAAAGTGGAGTAGGGAGCAAACAAGGAAGAAGTATGCGCGAGAAGAGCTACTAGGAGCAGCACGCTGAGGAGCTAGCTAGGAGTCACTAGGACTGGCGGCACAGGGTGAATGATAGTCCATAAGGCACAGGGGACTCACGAGGCTGGCGGCGGATTGGCGACTAGCGGCTGGAGGCCGACTCACGGATGGCGGCCGACGGCTACTGGCGGCTGGTGGTCAATGGCTGGCCGCGAGTGGTGGCAGTTGGCGGGTGACGGCAGGGCGTCGGTGGCTGGTTGCCGCTCCTTTTCAGCTATTTTTGTTTTTTTTCAGACTCTTTACAATTTCTTATCCCTTTGCTATAAAAGATTAGTGTATGTGGTGTATGTAGACAAACTTATCTTTGCTACTCCTGACAGAGTCGCACTGGCCTCAGTGAAGGCCGAGTTGCGTAGGAGACACAACTGTACAAACTTGCGGGAGCTGAGGCGTTATCTGGGCTTGGAGATCTCTCGTGACCGTGTCGCTCGCATGATCACACTCTCCCAGTCCCAAAAGGTGCAGCAGATCCTTCAGAGGTTCAGTCTCCTGTTCTCCTCAGCACAGCCCACCCAGCCTGTGGACCACAAGCTCTCTGCTCCTGTTCCGGCTGAGCCAGTCGAGGCTAGTGGTCCATACGCAGAGCTGGTAGGGTGCCTCATGTACCTGATGACCTGCACTCGACCAGATCTAGCGTACCCTCTCACTCTCCTGGCTCGCT